CTACCTGTATTTACAATCCCATGTGTATTATACATGTATATTAACTCAAAATTTTGAAACTTTAAATGTTTATATCTAATAAGCTAATAAAGTTATATTAAAAATTCAAATGCCATTTACTATTAAATTAAAAACTCAAACATTTTATTAAATTAAAAATATGTGTTACCATTTAAAAAAACAAAGTTGACCCCCCTCCAAGGCATAAGGGATGAACTTAAAAAGTATTACATAGTTAAAAATTCAAGAATAATATGTAACTAAAAATAATAAAAAACAAAAATGTTTAAATTATTATTATTCTGCAAGTAATTCAGTGGGTTATGATAAAAAAATCACTCTGTATATGTATATATCTGAATTGTCGCCTTTCAATCTTTTGGTATATTTAAAAGTTTTTTGTTATATATAAAAATTTAAGGGTTTAGACTTCAAAATATAGTCAAAAATAAAAAATAATTTATTATGCTTATGTTGTTATATTTGAACCCCTTCTGTACTTAGGTTAGTGATTGAATTAAAAAATAATAATCTAAAAGAAAGGTAAATATCTAAAATATGACCAAAAAAATTAATGAATCAATTTATGTATTTAGAAAAATGTTATAGTAATTTTAAGTTGACTTATTTTTTTAGCTTCGATACGAAGCTGAGAAGGTATTAATTTTACTATGATGTGTTTTTTAAAATTTTTTTTGTGTGTCTGTAAACGCTTAATCTCAGCTCTCACTGGACCGATTTTGATGAACATAGGTCAAAAGATGACAAATCGTATCTAGTTGAAGACATTATCCTCAAAAATTCCTTCGTTCCCCGTAAATGGAAGAAATCTCCAAAAAATTACAATTTTAAAAATCGCTAAATTTCGAAATATTTTCAGTTTTTTTTACTTAAAACTGCCATAACTTTATCAAAAATTATCAAATCAATATAATTTTTTTTTATATATACATGAGGTATTTACCTATCATTAAATTTTTTTTTTTTATAAATATGACTCTTTTAAAGTCCTCAGGGGGGATTCAAAATGACAACTTTTTCACAAAAAATTAACTTATTCAAATTTTACTTTTCAGAATGTTCCGGAAATACTGACACTTTTATATATACCTTAAATTAAAGCTCATATAATTTATTTTATTTTGAAAAAAAAAAATTGACCTCTACAATTGTTTTCGTGGTGAAAACGAACATCAATGTTAAAGAAAAACATACGATTTCCATGAAAAAATTTTCGATTTTATATTTTATATTATTAAATTTATATTGCTATAACTTTTGGAAAAATGTATGGAGCAATATTATTATTTATTTATAAATAATGTTTATATACCCCTTTCATTTGACACACATTTTTTTTAATCAGATCATACCTCTTTATACAAGGGGGGTCAAAACTTTAAACATGCTTATTGAAACTAGGACATTTTCAATATAATTTTTGAAAGTGTTCCAGAACTAATACTACTGACACTTTTAAATATATCTTAAATTAAAGCTTATGTAATATAATTTAATTTAAAAAAAAAGTTTGACCTCTGGATTTGTCTTCATGGTGAAAATGACTACTGTATTCAAATATATGCTATTTTGTGTTAAAATTCTGGGTTTTGTATTTTATTTTATTTTAAAATACCTGATAAGGGGAGTACACTGATTTTCAGAAATATTATATAAATCAAATTGATATACCATAGAAAGTTAAACTTGTTTAAATTTTTTGTATTTTTTAAGTTGAGTAAAATAATTTTGAAATTTGAACTAGCTTAAATTACCGTTTTTTTCAGTAGACGGTAAAACTTGTGTCTTATGCGCTTGGGGTACAATGTTTCAACCCGTGTATGGGAAGGAATTTTTTGCATTTTTTTCTTAATTCTTTTTTAATATAAAATAAATTTTCAACGTGTTTGATTTTTATCTCATTTAGATTCAATAACTTCAATTATGATCAAGGATCCCATCACTGTAGTCTCCCTTCATGAGAGAGACTATATTTTATGTTTTAGCTTCGATGCAAAGGTGAGAATATATTTTCAACTCCTTAGATTTTTATCTCGTTTTGATTCAATAACTTCAATAAAAACATTAAAATTATTTTACCATATTTTAGGTATTAGCTTCGATGCGAAGCTGAGAAGGTATTAATTTTATCATGATGTGTTTTTTTTTTTATGTTTGTTGCCACTTTTTCTCATCTCTCACTGGACCGATTCTTTCAACAATACGTCAAAAGATCACAAATCGTATCTAGTCGAAGACATTACCCTTAAAAATTGAAAAAAATTCTCTCGTTCCCCGTAAAAGGGGGAAACCTCCAAAAAAATTACAAATTTAAAAATCGCTAATTTTCGACATTTTTTCAAATTATTTTACTTAAAAGTGCCATATCAATATAATTCTTTTTTATATAGATGCACAATATCATTACCTTTCATTTGGTATATTTTCTTTATAAATTTAACCTTTACCTGCCCACAGAGGGGATTTAAAATGAGAACTTTTTCACAAAAAATTAACTTTTTCATCTTAACTTTTGAAAGTGTTCCGGAAAGTCTGACACTTTTATATATATCTTAAATTAAAGCTAATGTAATATACTTTATTATGCGAAAAAAAATTTCGGACTTTATTTTATCTTCATGGTGAAAACAGACATTAAACTTAATAAAAAAAATACGATTTTTGTAAAAAAATTCTTTTTTATATTTTTAACTTTATAATGCTATAACTTTTTGAAAGATGTATGGATCAATATAATTCTTTTTTTTATAGATGCATGATCTCTTTACCTATCATTTGGTATATTTTTTTATAAATCTGACTTTTTACCTGCTTACAGGGAGAGATTTAAAATGACAACTTTTTCACAAAAAATTTACTTTTTCAACTTAAATTTTGAAAGTGTTCCGGAAAGTCTGACACTTTTCTATATATATTAAATTAAAGCTAATGTAATTTATTTTATTATGCGAAAAAAAAATTTCGGACTTTTTTTATCTTCACGATGAAAATGGCTACCGAATGCTATTATTAAATATTTCATAGCATTATAAAGTTAAAAATGTAAAAAATAAAATCGAGAATTTTCACATAATAATAGCATTTGGTAGCCATTTTCATCGTGAACCCAACCCCTCGTTCCCCGCAAATGGAGGAAATATCCAAAAAAATTATAAATTTAAAAATAGGTAATTTTTGTCATTTTTTTCACTTTTTTTTTTAAATCTTCTATAACTTTTTCAAAAATCAACAAATCAACATAATTTTTTTTTTATACTAAAACCTTAGATATTTCCCTTTTATTTGATATCATTTTTTTGAAAATCTAACACTTAACCTGCTCATTGGGGAGGATTTAAAATAGCAACTTTTTTTACAAAAACTAACTTTTTCAACTTAATCTTTGAAAATGTTCCGGAAATACTGCGTCCTTTAAACATATATCAAATTAAAGTTTATTCTATGTACTACAAAATGAAAAAAAAAATTTGTCNTTTATTTTATGTACTATATAATGAAAAAAAAAATTTGTCCCGACGACCTATCTTCTATGCGCAAATGGCTACCGTATTCAAAAATATGCTATTTTTCTATTAAAATTCTAGGTTTTGTATTTTATTTTATTTTAAAATATCTTATTAGGAGAATACATGGTGAAAATAGCTACCGTATTTAAAAATATGCTATTATTGTGTTAAAATTCTTGGTTTTGTATTATATTTTATTATAAGGGGATTACGCTGATTTTCATAAATATTATTTCAATCTAAATGACATAGTATAAAAAATTAATCATATTTAAATTTTTTTATTTCTTTGAAGTCGAGAAAAATAACTTTAAAATTTGAACTAGCTAAATTTCCATTTTTATTTTTATTTTTATTAAGTGACGAATGAGACGTACGGTTTTTGAGACGGTAACACTTGGGTCTTTCAGGACTGTGGCACTGAATTTTAGCTTCGATGCGAAGCTGAGAAGGTATTGGTTTTACTAAGATGTGTTTTTTTTTTTGTGTCTGTTACCACTTTTTCTCAGCTCTCACCGAATCGATTTCTTTCAATGATACGTCAAAAGATCACAAACCGTATCTAGTCGAAGATATTACCCTCAAAAATTGAAAAAAATTCCCTCGTCCCTGTAAATGGGGGAAACCTCCAAAAAAATTACAAATTTAAAAATCGCTAATTTTCGAAATTTTTTCAAATTATTTTACTTAAAATTACCAATACTTTTTTAAAGATAATAAAATCAATATAATTATTTTTTTTATAGATGCATGATGTCTTTACCTATCATTTAGTATATTTTTTTTATAAATCTGACTCTTTACCTGCTCACAGGGGGGGATTCAAAATAACAAACTTTTCATAAAAAATTAACTTTTTCAACTTAACTTTTGAAAGTGTTCCGGAAATAATGACACTTTTATATATATCTTAAATTCAAGCTTATGTAATATGTAAAAAAATTTGACCTTAGGACTTTTCTTCACGGCGAAAATGGCTACCAAATGCTATTTTCGTGTGAAAATTCTCGATTTTATTATTTATATTATATTTAACTTTATAATGCTATAACTTATTGAAAAGTTTATGGATCCACACAATTTTTTTATGAGAAATAATATTTTTTAATAAACCATTTTTCATTCGACATACTTTATCTTAATCGAGATATTAATAAGGAACCAGCAGATCAAGTAGCTTTTGGAATAAAACACCAATTTTTTTAAAATTAAACACTATCTAAAGATTTGCATCGAAGCGTTTATTTTTGATAGTGATTTTAATCACTGTCAGATATCATTATACTTGATCCAACTATGCCACGTCACCACTGTGCCGCGATCCCCCTGTGCTGGGTTCTTAACTTTATTATGCTATAACATTTTGAAAAATGTATGAATCAGTACAATTTTTTCACGGGGAGTAGTATATATATACATCTTTCATTTGACATACTATTTTTTTAAATTATATACGAGGGGGGTTCAAATCTAAAAAATGCATGTAGAAAGTAGAACTTTTTCATCTTAACTTTTGAAAGTGTTCCGGAAAGTCTGCCACTTTTATATATATCTTAAATTAAAGCTAATGTAATTTATTTTATTATGCAAAAAAAAAATTTCGGACTTTATTTTATCTTCACGATGAAAATGGCTACCAAATGCTATTATTATGTGAAAATTCTCGATTTTATTTTTTACATTTTTAACTTTATAATGCTATGACATATTGAAAAGTGTATGGATCAACATTATTTTTTTATGAGAAATAATATTTTTTAANATTAGCTTTAATTTAAGATATATATAAAAGTGTCAGACTTTCCGGAACATTTTCAAAAGTTAAGTTGAAAAAGTTAATTTTTTGTGAAAAAGTTCTCATTTTAAATCCCCTCTGTGGGCAGGTAAAGGTTAAATTTATAAAGAAAATATACCAAATGAAAGGTAATGATATTGTGCATCTATATAAAAAAGAATTATATTGATATGGCACTTTTAAGTAAAATAATTTGAAAAAATGTCGAAAATTAGCGATTTTTAATTTGTAATTTTTTTGGAGATTTCTCCCTTTTACGGGGAACGAGAGAATTTTTTTCAATTTTTAAGGGTAATGTCTTCGACTAGATACGATTTGTGATCTTTTGACGTATCATTGAAAGAAATCGGTTCGGTGAGAGCTGAGAAAAAGTGGTAACAGACACAAAAAAAAA